AAATGTTAATTGGAGAGTAATTTATACATATCCAGTCTTAATACAAGTGCACGGAAGTTTTCAGAATTTTCCGTTTACGTTTTCATGACAAGAAAAGGCGATCCCGAAAAACCCGGAAGTAGATACCGGCACATTTTCGGACACATTTGCAGAGGATGGAATTATGGATTTAGGTTAAATTTATGTTTGGGTCACTCACCGCTGATGTTCAGGATTCTTTGTTCAGTTTTCATGCAGTTCCAGAGAGTTCTAGTTTGGAAGTTGCTAGCCTAACTGTTACTAGCATAGCCACGGGAAAGCCTTTGGGAACTATTTTATTTTCTGTCATTAAATAAACCTTTCGGCATTCCTAAAAGTGGACTGAAGTTTATGTTGTGTGTTCTGTTGGTATAAAGCCGTATAATAAGCGGGATAACGTATATTACGCAGGTCATTATCGGAAAATAAGTACCGACAGGGCGAAGCGGACCCCGACGCGCAGCGGACCCCAACGCGCAGCGGAGGGGTCTGCTTCGCCCTGAAGGTTTGCTTACGCATTGCGCTGCTTTTGGCTGTAATTTTCAGTCCAAAGGACATAAAGGAAGTGAGGTAAGCCTTCACAGCTTCCCGGAGGAGCCAAAATTGAGGAGACTTTGGGAGGATGCGGTTGGGAGAGTCGAGCTTCCCAAGGACCCGCGGCTGTGTTCTTGCCATTTTAGCTCCAACGACTTCGAGGCCTTTCACCGCCCGCGGCTTATGAAAGAGCCCGCCGGTGCTTCTGGATACAAGCGACGTCTAAAACCAGACTCGATGCCAACAATTTTCTCTAACAAAAAAACAAAACGCCCGCGAGTGACGAGTGAGAACCGGGTAAAATCTCGTGAACGACGGGAGGCGTTGGACATGTACCTGGGTCAGCCCGCCTCTCCTTTGACAGCAGCTCCCAACAATTCAGCAGCACCTATAACACTATTGTATTGTCCTGTACCTATTACTTGCCTTTTTAGCAAATAAACCACTGTCTTCTTAAGTTGTTTCTATATTATTATATTTTTATAGATTATACAAACCCCCTGAAGAGGTTTAAGAATTCAATTCCTTTTAGATTTATTGAGAATGATTATAATGAGTTTGTTCAGACCTTTATATCTTTAAATTAAGATTAGTGCCCTAAAGGTTAACGACCTACTAGGTCTAAGTAAAACTCACATTTGTAGGATAAGCACGTATCTGTGAGAGCAGACAACCTGAGCTCATTCTACATATTTAATTTTTAAAGTCATCGTAGGATACCGAAGGTGGACATACATTTTCTTCTCCTACATAGATTATGGTGACCATTTTGATCAGTCTAAGATTATGACCTTTTTATCTGTCTTAGATTATGGTGACCTTTGTTATCTGTCTTAGATTATGGTGACCTTTTTGATCTGTCTTAGATTATGTTTACTTTTTTTATATGAGGTTCATCACAATCTGTAGAGCTCTGACACATCACTGTGAGCTGTACCCTCCCTGTCCACTAGGAGGCAGTGTTTACAAGGCTCTCCGTATGGCGCACCTCCGTGAACACATACTACTGTTATATAAAGCCCGTGGAAAGTCTCTGTTCAAAGACACGCTGCAAAGCTGCATATTGGAGAAGATCTGTACACAAGAAGCCGCTAGAATAGCTCTGTTAGCATTAGAGCCGGCTACTTCCGGTACTTCCGGCTCGCGTCAGGACGTTCTGGTGTGAAGTCCCCTGCGTCTGAAAACTAGAGAATGCGCGTCTGGTGAGCGGGGCTTCAGCGTTTCAGTGTTGGCGGTGTGAAAGCCCCATCACACAGAGGAGCACAGAGTCTGATGCTCTGAGGTCCAATGAGCAGCTGTTGCCTTTTGTCTGCACAGAGTTTGGGAAAAGAGCCTTTGTCCTGCAGCTCCTTCTGATCGGAACATGCTCCAGCGAGACTGGAAGGAGACCGAGCTTTGGTCCTTGAATGCTTTTAAATCAAAACTCAGAGTTTTCGAGACGGCCTCATTCACCTATAGATGTTTTACTTGCTGTGTGTAGTCAGTACCTGTCCTTTTTGATATTATTTTACCAGTCTGTTATGTTTATGTGTCACTCTGCTGCCTCTTGACCACGACTCCCTTGAAAAAGAGGTTCTCAATGGGATTTTTCCTGGTTAAATAAAAGTTAAATAAAAAAAAATTTAAACAAGAAGGACTGTGGTGATGATCTAGGACACTTTGACCTTTTAGAACATGTTTGACATTTATCAACATGTATGACATTTATCCACATGTGTGACATTTATCAACGTATGATATTTATAAACATGTATAACATTTATCAACATGTATGACATATATCAACATGTGTGACATTTATCAACATGTACAACATTTATCACATGTATGACATTTATCAACATGTGTGACATTTATTAACATGTATGACATTTATCAACATGTGTGACATTTATCAACGTGTGACATTTATCAACATGTATGACATTTATCAACATGTGTGACATTTATCTACATTAATGACATTTATCAACATGGATGATATTTATCAACATGTATGACATTTATCAACATGTATGACATTTCTCAAAATGTATGACATTTATCAACATGTATGACATTTATCAACATGTGTGACATTTATCAACATGTGTGACATTTATCACATGTGTGACATTTATCACATGTATGACATTTATCAACATGTATGACATTTATCAACATGTATGACATTTATCAACATGTATGACATTTATCAACATGTGTGACATTTATCAACATGTATGACATTTATCAACGTGTGACATTTATCAACATGTGTGACATTTATCAACATGTATGACATTTATCAACATGTATGACATTTATCAACATGTATGACATTTATCAACATGTATGACATTTATCAACATGTGTGACATTTATCAACATGTATGACATTTATCAACATGTGTGACATTTATCAACATGTATGACATTTATCAACATGTGTGACATTTATCAACATGTATGACATTTATCAACATGTAATAATAATAATAATAATAATACATTTTATTTAAAAGCGCCTTTCTAAACACCCAAGGACACTGTACAGGACATAATAAAAAACAGGATCAACAGAATAGAACAGTAGTCAAGTGCAATATGGAATGGTGTGTGTGTGTGTTAGGTGTGTGTGTGTGTTAGGTGTGTGTGTGTGTTAGGTGTGTGTGTGTGTGTTAGGTGGGGTAGTTGCGGAGTTGAGCAGCGACAGATTTTTCAAGTATTTTGGAGAAGAAAGGAAGGTTTGAGATGGGACGGAGGTTGTTGAAGTTGGTGGGATCCAGGCCAGGTTTTTTGAAAATGGGGGAGACTGAGGCTGTTTTGAGAGAGGGACAGTACCAGAAGTGAGAGATGAATGAATGATATTAGTGATGAGGGGGGCAACTGAGGGGAGGCAGGATTTGACAAGAACTGTGGGGAGAGGGTCGAGCTGAGAGGTAGAGGGTTTGGATTTAAGGATAAAATCGGCGATGGCTTGGACAGAGGGCAGCTCCAGAGACTGCAGCTCCATGTGGGGTCAGGTGTTGGTGAATGTCAGAGATCTTGGAGGTGAAGAAGGACATAAGTGAATTACAGAAGTCAGTGGATTGCATATGGTGGGGGAGGGAGTCAGGGGGTTTGGTAATGTTGGTGAGGAGAGAGAAGAGAGTTTTGGAGTTGTGATGATTGGAGTGAATTAAACCGGAGTAATAGGTGGATTTGGCAGCAGAGAGATGGTCCTTGTATGTCATGATATGGTTATTGTACATTTGTTTGTGAATGGTGAGTCCAGTTTTATTGAAGAGCCGTTCAAGTTGACGTCCTTGAGCTGACGGAGGGCAGGGGTGAACCAGGGTGCTGAGAGCGTGAAAGAGACGGGTCGGGTTTTGAGAGGAGTGTGATTGTTCAGGAGGTTATGGAGAGAAGTGTTGTAGTGGGAGACCAGGTCATCGGGTGAGCCATTGGGATCAGTAGTGGGGAGTTCATTGTTGTCTGAGGCGAAGGTGGCAGTGTTTATGTCCTTAATTTTACGGAAGGAAAAGGTTCGGGGAAGGATGGTCTTAGAGAGGGTGAGGTTGATTTTGAAAGTGATAAGCTTATGGTCTGTGTATGGGAGTGAATGGGGTTTACAGTCAGTGGGAGTGAGGCCAGAGCAGCAGATTAAATCCAATATGTGACCTTTAGAGTGAGTGGGGAAATGTATGTATTGTTGTAAACCGAAACTATCTAAACCGGAGGAGAAGTTTTTGGTGAGAGGATTGCTATTATTGTCCATGTGAATGTTGAAGTCCCCAAGTATGACTGCGTTTTGAGAGAGAGATGAAAAGTGCGTGAGCAGGTGAGAAAAGTCATTTAAAAAGTCCTTATTAAGTTTTGGCGGGCGGTAGATGGCGGCTATAATAGTAGGAGAAGGTCCAGGCAGCAGTGAGTATTCGAAGGAGGAGAAGACAGGGGCAGCAGGCACAGGAGTGACTTTCCAAGTCTCGCGGTGAAGCATCGCGAGACCTCCGCCCCAGCGGCCGCAGGTGCGGAGCTGGTAGATGTAAACTAACCCCGGTGGAGCGGAGTCGTTCAACGCGGCAAAGCCATTTGGCTGCTGCCAGGTTTTGGTCAGGCACAAGAAGTCCAGCTTACGGTCAACGAGGACATTCTGGACCAGATGGCCCTTGCTGTTGAGGGAGCGCACATTGAGGAGACCGAAGCTGACGGTGGTGGAGCTGTTCTTGGCTGCCGCGGAGTTAGCCGATCTAGCCACGCTGACCAGGACACTGTCAGCATCCCGAGCAGCGGCGCGGGAGCGGCGGCGAGTGGTGGACCAAAAGGACTTTATTGAATGGGAGTCCTTGTACCTCCACTGGGGTTGGAAAGCGATGTCAGGGGGGGATGTCAGGTTCGCGCTCCGGTGGCTGAAGAGGAGCGGAGACGTGGTGCAGAAGTTTTAAAAGTTCAGCAGCGGAGTATTGTAGGAGAGCATTGGTTTGCAGATGGACGAGGGACACGATGAGTCAGATGACAGTAAGCCAGCGTGTTATTTGGCAGATCCACATCGTCTCCCAGGAGGGGAATACGACAGGCAGGGGTCCCAGGTAAGAATATGTCCAAAATGCGATTGACAACAGCAAACTGAGGTTGATGTCGGTAGCAGGCAAACAATCCTTGAAACACTGCGTAACCAGGACATCCAATATTGTGTAAACAATGTTTTATTCCGTGATTGTTCGGTGAGCAGCGGCTGCCAAAGCGCGCCAGCGTTCACTCACTGAACTCTCGCGAGGGTGACTTTGATGTCTCTGAAAGCAGTCAGCACTAATGGCTAATTGATTATTTGAATAACAGTCAGTATTGGTCACGTTACTTAAAGAAATAAATACAATCTTTTCCCCAAGAGTAATTGCCAAATTAACTTCACTACTGGGTGGTAAAAGCAACTAATACACATTTAGAACACTATTTTTTTATTCGATGCATCCCTACGTAAAGAAGTTAATCAGCTCAAAACTCTGACAGCGCATCTACAACAAAACTCTGTAAACGCACAAAATCATATTCTCGACCTACAATGTCAAAGTATGCCGGACAACTTCATTATACACGGTTTACCCGAACAACAAAACAAATCTTATCAGTCAACCGAACACCTAGTCAAGACTTTCCTCAAAACTAACCCCAAGATGGATGACAACCTGGTCCAGCAGATTGATCTGGCTCGAGCTCACTGGCTGGGCCAGCCACGTGAAGGAGCACCCCGTTGTCGTCCTATCGTGGCCAAACTCCTGGACCCCAGGCTCAATGCTGCCATCATGCGGAAAGGCAGGGAGCTCAAGGGGACTAAGCTCGTCCTGAGCGACCAATTCCCTCCAGAGATCATGAAGCGACGCAAACTTCTCCAGCCAGCCCTAGCCGAAGCGAGGACCGCGGGAAAGCTAGCAAGGCTGTCCATAGATAAACTCTACATTGATGGAAGACTTTACCGCAACTCAAAAGTCACATACTGGCTCTCTGGTGGCGACGAGGCAGCCACACGAGAAATTTCGTTAGTAAACATTGCCACACAACTATGACGTCATCTGAGCGACACAACCGCTTCACTCTTATGCATATGTAAAGCTGAACTTTCAGTATTATTGCTATTATTAACAATAATATATGGAATCAATGTTTGTTATCTGTTTTTTGTTTTGTTTCTTTATTTTATTTCCGGCGTGGGGAAGGCCTCTCTCTCCCCCAATCTTGGATTTGTTTTAGATGCACTTCGGACTCCCCACCTCTCACCTCATCTTTGTCCCTCCCCCTCACACCCAACTCCCCAACACGCTTGTTTCCCCCCTCACTCGTGCATCTACACCCACACACGCACAACCAAACATGCATGATCACTATGATGAATACAATCTGCAACTAATATGGTAACTTTTAAACTTTACTCATTTTGTACATAATTCAACCGTCTCAGACCCTGAGGGACGCTACATAATTATTAATATCTGCATAAACAACCACCCTGTTACAATTTGTTATCTGTATGGACCTAACACCGATGATCCCACTTTCTTCCAAAATGTCTCACAAATCTCTCTAACTGCCCAATCATTCTTGCCGGAGACTTCCATACAGTACTCGCCTCCTCAATAGACCGGTCCAACAACAAGAATCCACGTGTTTTACCCCGGAGGTATCACCCTCTCTCTTGTGGTAGACAGCTAAGGCGGTCTTGACAGGTCGAATCATTGCCTTCTCGGTCCATAAATCCAGAAAAGAAAAAGAACAACAAATAAAAACACTGGAACAAAAAAATATGACTACCCCAACTCCCAATTCAGAAAAAGAAATATTAAAACTAAAACATGAACTAAATCATATAACAAACAAAAAATGCAATTCCTCACTCACAGGCTAAGACAAGAACACTTTCTCCATTGCAATAAATCAGGTAAATACCTCGCAAACCAGATCAAATTGAATAAGGAAAAAAGTTCGATTTTTTCGATCCTGGTTATAATGAACTCAGCAGGGAAGCCAACAACTTCACATAAAGAAATAAATGACACATTCCAGCGCTTCTACAGCAAACTATATTCCTCTGAATCAGATCCAAACCTGGAATGCATTAATTCCTTACTTAACAACATTGAACTCCCCACTCTCCTCCCAAATCAAATATCAAAGCTAGAATCACCAATCACAGATCCAGAAATTTTCACTGCTCTCAAAAGTATGCCTAAAAATAAATCGCCTGGCCCAGATGGCTTCCCTGCTGAGTTCTGCAAACACTTCTGGCCCATACTTTCTCCACTATTCATGCGTATGTTAGAAGAGTTACTGTTATCACTAATGGTCTAACATCACAGCACTTCGCACTGCACCGCGGCACTCGCCAGGGATGCCCACTCTCCCATCAATCAAATCATCAATACTTCCATTATAACATGATAGTTGAGATGTGGCATCTTACTCTGATAGACTCTGATATTACTCTGATATTAGGAAGAATGGTCAGTCTGACCGGTGAGCCTGCTCTTCTTGCCCCTGATATCAAACTAGTATCTGCCTCCACCCCGTCATTGGCCTCGCGTCCCTACAGAACAACAGTTTAGTTAGTTTGAACAGATGGACTAGCTTTGAACTTTGTCCCAGATATCCTAATTCAGATTAGATTCATTCTTAAGTTAAATTGATTTATAATCCCAGTTAGATTTCTATCACACAAAAATAAACCATTAATATTACAATCCTGGGCAAGCAAAGGTATAACGCACTTAGGTCACATTATCACTAACAACACACTGTCATCACTCACACAACTGTCTCAGGAATATGGCATCGGGAGCAAATGCTTCCTAGAATACTCACAGTTATGATCAATAATCTTAAACTAGAAACCGTTGCAATGGCTGAAGCCATTGCGATTGACTGCGGAACAGATCTAATGTGGAATTTAGCTGAAAAATCCTTGAAATCCTTGAAACTGTTAAAATACTTTAAACATCTTTGAAACTCCTGAAGTATTTGAAGCTCCTGATATCCTTTAAACTGTTATCCTTTATACTGGTTTTCATGTAAAAACCCCTATTAAGTTCCATTATACTGGTTTACATGTAAAAACCCCTATTAAGTTGCATTATACTGGTTTACATGTAAAAAACCCTATTAAGTTGCATTATACTGGTTTACATGGAAAAATCCCTATTAAGTTGCATTATACTGGTTTACATGTAAAAAACCCTATTAAGTTGCATTATACTGGTTTACATGGAAAAATCCCTATTAAGTTGCATTATACTGGTTTACATGTAAAAAATCCCTATTAAGTTGCATTATACTGGTTTACATGTAAAAACCCCTATTAAGTTCCATTATACTGGTTTACATGTAAAAAACCCCCTATTAAGTTGCATAATACTGGTTTACATGGAAAAATCCCCATTAAGTTGCATTATACTGGTTTACATGGAAAAATCCCTATTAAGTTGCATTATACTGGTTTACATGGAAAAATCCCTATTAAGTTGCATAATACTGGTTTACATGGAAAAATCCCCATTAAGTTGCATTATACTGGTTTACATGGAAAAATCCCCATTAAGTTGCATTATACTGGTTTACATGGAAAAATCCCTATTAAGTTGCATTGTACTGGTTTACATGGAAAAAACCCTATTAAGTTGCATTATACTGGTTTACATGGAAAAAACCCTATTAAGTTGCATTATACTGGTTTACATGTAAAAACCCCTATTAAGTTGCATTATACTGGTTTACATGGAAAAAACCCCTATTAAGTTGCATTATACTGGTTTACATGAAAAAACCCTATTAAGTTGCATTATACTGGTTTACATGGAAAAATCCCTATTAAGTTGCATTATACTGGTTTACATGGAAAAATCCCTATTAGGTTGCATGATTACACTGAAGTCCTTGAAACTGCTGAAGTCCTTGAAACTGCTGAAGTCCTTGAAACTGCTGAAGTCCTTGAAACTGTTGAAGTCCTTGAAACTCTTGAAATCTTGAAACTGCTGAAATCCTTGAAACTGTTGAATCATTGAAACTGTAGAAATGTCTGAAAGAGCTGAAGTCCTATTAAAATGCATGGGCCTATTAAAATGCATTGCAGAATTCTCAATGCAGATTTTTGTCCGATTGCGGAAAAACCGGAAATCGCTGAAGTCCCAAAAGTAATAGCAATAATCTCCCAAACATGTGGAACGTTTTGATGTATAACTTGTGGAAATTGTTGAAAATGTGAAAGCTGTGAAACGTGTCAAAAAAAATGACGGAATAAAGAAATACAAAACCAATGGTTGACTGCGGAAGGTTCCGCAGTCAATCAATAAAATCAATATTCATACAATAGACCTGGACCCAAGCCCATTCATCACAGATCTTCTGGAGCTTGTTCCCAAAAACCTAAACTCCAAAATATACAAATTACTTACAAGAATTGACAATACCCACTCGCTTCCAATCTCACAATGGCAACAAGACTTAGCATTTGCTCCCGATGCCAATTTCTGGACCCAAACCTGCAACAACATTTACTTCATGACCAATAACTCAAACCTACAACTCATACAGTTCAAAGTCCTTCATAGATACCACTACACAGACCACAAACTTTCCAAAATGGGTTTCAGCACAGGAATATGCTCACATTGCACTCAGAATCACAGACGACTACCTCCACGCTCTCTGGCATTGCACCGGTCCACACTTTCTGGCAACTAGTCACTGAGTCACTCTCCTTCAAACTCGGCTGCCACGTCCCAATGTCCCCCTCCCTCTGTTTACTCGGAGACACTTCCACACTAGACCTTAATCAATACCTTAAAAAACAACTATTGGTGTCGCTAACAATCGCCAAGAAAGTAATTCTAATCAACTGGAAATAAAATAAAAAACGTACACATCACCACTTGGAAACACCTCCTGTTAGTTCATTTATCAACTGAAAACTACTCACAGCTCTCCACACACACATCTGTCCATTCCTCTCCTTCAATCATAGCAACTGCACTCAACCCTCACACACTAAAACCCAATCTCACGCATAAATATCCTACTGCAACTGCAACAACAAAAATACTACAATAGAAAAATGGATGAAATGTGACGGTAATGAAGACAAAAATGGCACTAATATTGGTAATAGTGATTTGGGCAATAACAGATCGGATTCAGATCAATCAGATATGAAATGTCAACTGAGGCCGCAAAACTTTTTTTAGACTCAATGATTTGTAGTCATTTTCATTATTGTTTAACAAGCTGGAGCGAATCAGACTACTTTAAGACCATTAGAAATATTATATAAGCAAGCCATTGAAGTAATGGCTAAAAAGCCAAAGTGTTAATTTTGGGAAAGTATTCCTTTTTAAGTTGGCCAGATCTTCATAAATTCTCAAATCTATGCTTAATGTATAAAGCGACTCATAACTTGGCTCCCACTCCACTCGCAGGTCTGATAAATCAAAGGAACAGTAGTGAGCGGCTCACTACAGGCTCCGTGAGAGGCGACCGTGTGGTCCCTCTGCGTAAGAGCACCTTCAGTCAGTCTGCCTGGTCCGTTAGAGGCACCAGAGAGAGGAACTCACCACAGTCTGTTAGAGGCACCAGAGAGAGGAACTCACTACCACAGACTGTTAGAGGCACCAGAGAGAGGAACTCACCACAGACTGTTAGAGGCACCAGAGAGAGGAACTCACCACAGACTGTTAGAGGCACCAGAGAGAGGAACTCACTACCACAGACTGTTAGAGGCACCAGAGAGAGGAACTCACTACCACAGACTGTTAGAGGCACCAGAGAGAGGAACTCACCACAGACTGTTAGAGGCACCAGAGAGAGGAACTCACCACAGTCTGTTAGAGGCACCAGAGAGAGGAACTCACCACAGACTGTTAGAGGCACCAGAGAGAGGAACTCACCACAGACTGTTAGAGGCACCAGAGAGAGGAACTCACCACAGTCTGTTAGAGGCACCAGAGAGAGGAACTCACCACAGACTGTTAGAGGCACCAGAGAGAGGAACTCACCACAGTCTGTTAGAGGCACCAGAGAGAGG